CGACGACGACAACGACGACGACGAAGACGACGACGACGACGACGACGAAGACGAAGACGAAGACGAAGAGGAAGACGAAGACGAAGACAAAGACGAAGACGAAACGACGAAACGACGGGGGGGTTGGGGGGGGGCAGAGCCCCCCCACTCGAGACAGGAGCAAGAAGCAGACACTGGCACAACGAGACTGCTCAGTGTTAGCGCCATGCTTCTGATTGTGACAGTGTCCTTGTTAGTCGCTGTCGGTGTCACTGTTGTTGTTGTTGTTGTTGCTGTTCTTGTTGTTGTTGTTGTTGTTGTTGTGGTGGTGGTGGTGGTGGTGGTTGTGGTGGTGGTGGTGGTGGTGGTGGTTGTGGTTGTTGTGGTTGTTGTGGTTGTTGTGGTTGTTGTGGTTGTTGTGGTTGTTGTTGTTGTTGTTGTGGTTGTTGGTTGTTCTTGTTCTTGTTCTTGTTCTTGTTCTTGTTCTTGTTGTTGCTGTTGCTGTTGCTGTTGCTGTTGCTGTTGCTGTTGTTGTTGCTGTTGTTGTTGTTGTTGCTGTTGTTGTTGTTGCTGTTGCTGTTGCTGTTGTTGTTGTTGCTGTTGCTGTTGTTGTTGTTGTCGTTGTTGTCCTCGTTGTCGTTGTCGTCCTCGTTGTCGTTGTCGTTGTCGTTGTCGTTGTGGTTGTCGTTCTCGTTGTCGTTGTCGTTGTCGTTGTCGTTGTCGTCGTCGTTGTCGTTGTCGTTGTCGTCGTTGTCGTCGTTGTCGTCGTTGTCGTCGTTGTTGTCGTCGTTGTCGTTGTCGTTGTCGTTGTCGTTGTCGTTGTCGTTGTCGTTGTCGTTGTCGTTGTTGTTGTTGTTGTTGTTGCTGTTGCTGTTGCTGTTGCTGTTGCTGTTGCTGTTGCTGTTGCTGTTGCTGTTGCTGTTGCTGTTGTTGTTGTTGTTGCTGTTGTTGTTGTTGTCGTTGTTGTTGTTTCCCACTCAAGACAGGAGCAAGAAACCTGCGAGTCATTTTTCCCACTCTTTCCCGGAAGGTGGTCCCTGTTTCTGACTGGATGATACTATTTCTGGCCGAGCCCTCAAGATTTCTTGCCAGGAAACTATTTCTGGCCAAGGTTTCAGTATTTCTGGCGAAGAGGGATATTGTATTTTCAGAAATACGAAGTTTCTATGCTATAGGAAAGGAGCTATCTTATTTCTAATAGCTGTATCGCTATTTCTTGAGATCCTGGTGAAATGACCTCTCCTTATTTCTGGCCAAGGCTTCACTATTTCTGGCGGAGGGGGTTCCCCGTTCTGCAACTGTCTCGACCGATGGTCCGGCGACCCGCACCCAAGTTCCTGCAGAATCTATTCTTGCGTCAGGTTAACCAGCTGCACGGAGTTCTCGAGCAAGCTCAATCTGCTCCCTGGCTTCTCTAGACAACAGATTAACAGGCAAAGGTGGGTTGGACCTATCTCTTTTTGGGTGCCTCTCCCTTGGAGATGCGGCTTTACCAACAGGTGCTGGCTCCTCCTCACTTTCAACCTCAAAACTTTCCTCCTCCTCCTCCTCCTGATTCCTTTCCACTGCCTCGCGCGCCTTGGCAAAAGCCGGAGCTCGCGCAGCGAGCTCTTCTGGTGTTGGCGGCGGATGTTGTGGCGGCGGTGGAATATTAGAAGGGACTAAAGGTGGTGGTGATGATGGTGGTGATGATGGTGGTGATGGGAGTTCAGCTACTGACAAGGGCTTTACAACAGCTTGACTACTGGGAATCGTAGGGACTACTTCAGTTGTTTGGGCAGTACCTGAATCCTTTTTCGCAGTGGCTGATGTGTCGCGTTCTTTGGGAACAACGACCCCTTGTGGTTGATTAGAGTTTGGCAAGGGATTCACAACAGGATTATCTTTGGGGGCTTCTGGAACGGCTGCACTTGATGGAGCACTACCGGATGCCTCAGTTGCAATCACTGTCGTGTCGCGTTCTTTGGGAACAGCGACTCCTTGCTTTTGTTTCGGCGGCTGCAAAGGTTTCGCAACAGATTCAACTTCGCGGGAACTTTCGGAGTCGCTACACTTGCTGGAGCACTACTCGAACCCTCGGATGCAATGGCTGTTGCGTCGCGTTCTTTGGGAACAGCGACCCCTTGCGGCTGCTTTTCGCTGGTGGTGGCGAGGGCTTTGTCACAACAGGTTTAACTCTGGGAACTTGTGGAACTGCTACACTTGATGGAGCACTACCAGGACCCTCAGATGAAACGGCTGTTGCGTCGCGCTCTTTGGGAGCGGCGACCCCTCGCGATTGTTCTGGGAACGGACGGATGGACGATGATATATGGACACTGCTATACTCGGCTTGCTGTACAACTTGATCCGCAGCACGCAAAGTAGGTTGCCAGTCAGATGCTGGCGCCTTCGGCTGCTGTGCCTTTGGCGACGCAGCTTTGGGTGGCTCTTTGGGCTCTGGAGGTCGTACAACTGCTGCGCCACCAGCCGAAGCCGGGTCAGCGGCCCAAGCTCTGGGTCTTGCAGGAGCGTTTGGGCCTACGTACCTATAGTAGTAATCCCAACTTTCTTGAGGAGGGAATTCACTACCCAAAATGTTCAAGTTAATGATACGCTTTGATGGTAGTACGCCACTTTCAACTGCGTGACGACCGTGTCCAACACCACGCCTTCTGTCTAGGCCGTTGACGGGGACCCAGCGTTCGTATTCAGGCCAGATATTATATGTTAGCACTAAACACTGAGTTACGGTCAAGTATCCAGCAATGGCTTCGTGATTAGCGACTTGCCACTTTTGGTCAATGTGAACACTGTCCAAGTAGTATCTGCCCAACCAAAAACCACGGCCTGACCTCCCTCCTGTATTTTGATACAGCCAGTCCCTAAAAGTATCCAAGTCACTAAACCAGGCCCGGTTGGCTTCCTGGTTTCTAGTTGTCTGCCCACCGCGTGAACTCCTCTGTCGAGTGTGCTGTTTTGGACCTGCAGATGGAGCGGAGGGAGAGTGACCGGTACGAATAGGCTCAACACCAAGCTCAACTAAGTTGGGGCTAGTGGGTGGTGCAACAAAATCAGATGTGTCTAGTTGAGTATTGGATGTTGTCGCGACAGCGGAAGCGTCAACGACCCCAGGGTGTGCGGATGCAGAACTTGGTTCAGAAACTTCTGTGGCTTCTAAGACGGCTGAATCTACACTTGCACCTGGGTTTTCTGTCGCGACAACGGTTGTGTCTACGACCTCAGGCTTAGCCGATGCCAAGGCTGGTTCGGATGCTTTGTGGGACCCTACTGCAACTGTCTCAAGTTGCACGGATGTGGCAGCTTCGAGTGTGTCGGCTTGTGGACTCTTGGGATCCACTTCAGCTTTGACAACGGCTGCAACAGTTGTGTCTTCACCCAAGTTTGATGTTGTGGTACCTTCCAATTGATCTGCGGCTTCAGAAGCTATCTCAGTAGAGGATGGATGAAGTGGCTGCTGGTCTCCTGTTTGATGTGTCCCAGACTGTTATTGGCACCTTCCAATCCAGAAACTTCGGAAAAAGTTATGTCAGCAGCTACCTCTTCCGTCGCGGCGTTGTCGCCAGCGACCTCCACTGATAAACCTCCAGCTACAGGCACCTCACTCGTTGACCGTGCTTCCTGGAACTCCTCCTTCACCTCAGTCGACAATCCTTGGGATTGGTCAGCTTCAGCAGGCTGCTGGTCACCAGTCGACGGCACGGGAAACCGCCCAGTTTCGGGAAACTGCGGCGCCGGTTCAGCAGTCGGTGGATTAAATTCCTCAACACCTTCTGCTTCCCCTAGAGCGTTGGTTCCTTCCACTGGCGTTTCGGCTGCCGCGCTGTGATCAGCTGCGACCTGCTCGGAAATGTCTGAGGGCATGCAACAGCGAGCGAAGTGCGAAAAGTACCAGGGGCCTAAACCAGTTATGGACGGATTAGGTAACCCTTAAAAACAGGCTATACGGCTGATAATCAGTGAAAACAAAGGGACGAACAGACAACCCAAAAGAAAGGGTGACCCAATCCGCCCATAACCCTGTACCCAAACCAAGCACTCCTTTTTGGCGGAGCACTTGAGCCAAGCGTCAATAGCGTAACATGTTGACCCGACCCGGTGATTGTGGGGAAGGGAAAACAAAAGGTTACCTATTTCGAACTACGGATACTCTCCATATCTATAGCACAAGATATGGGGTGCTATACTGTACATTGAGTATTCAGCATAACTATTTTGGAGTCAGGTGGTGCTCATAGCTAAGCTATATACACTACGCTATACCTGCTAAGCTACATGTAGTGGGGGCTCAGGGGTCGATATATTTCAACTTAGGTAGTTCGAGATAAATCAGTAGGTAGGTGAGTAGACAGATAGACAGACAGGTAGACAGATACATGGAATGGATAGAATATATAATATATAGAATAGATAGAGTAGATACACTAGATAGAATAGATATAATAGATTACATTTATAGCATAGAAAGAATGGATACAATAGATAGAATACATAGAATGGGTGAAGTAGGTAGAATACATGAAATAGATAAAAATACATAGAAGACATAGAATAGATCGATTTGGTAGATGGGAAAGATTGGATAGATTCAATAGATTCGACACTTTCGATGGATTCGATAGTATCGATAGATTCAATGGGTTGGATACATTGGGTAGATTGGGTAGGTTGGATGGATTGGATGGATTGGATAGGTAGGTTATAGATCAGGTGGATTAGATAGATTAGATACATTAGATGGATTAGATAGATCAGATAGATAAAATTGATAAGACTGGTAAGATAGATAATTCTAAATAAGACAGACAAGATAGATAAGCTAGATAAGCTGGATAAGCTAGATAAGCTAAGTAAGATAGATAAGGTAGATAAGATAGGATAGGAAAAGATAAGATAATATGATTTAATATAAGATCAGGTAAGCTAGATAGAGCCTGTACATATTTGTGACATAAATATATATATATTCATACTTTTAGCTGTCCGTATCGCAACTTCTTGTGAATCCACAAAGACCTGTCCTTGTAGTCCATGATCTTCTGCAATTCCTCTTGTGCGGCATCTCCTGAATAACCTGAATGGGATCGTCACATCCATCGTGTGTCCAAAAATGAGCCACTCTTAAACTCCGATGGTATATCATATGATCATTTTCTTAATCAGAAATCGCCATTTCGAATACCCCACTTCTCGACAAGCCCAATGCCTGTGTGAAGGAAAAAAAAGGGATAAATCCATTTTTTTTCACTTCAATCAAGCTAAATCAGCTAAATCTATGTTTTTGCTGATTGAAATAATCTAAAATGAGTGAAATCCCCATGTTTGGCTGGCAACTCTTTGGCTGTTTACCACAACTTGGCGTTTGAAAAAACCCATTTTTCAACGGATCATCCCGCGTGCGCGGCACCTGCGGTGAATTCGGAGACCACCGAGGCTTCTTTCAGCCGGTCGTGGCCTGGAGAAACATGGGAAAATTCGAAAGTGGTGGGAAACATGGCCTAAAGGATGGTGGAATACGGATGGTTGATTTTTTTTGATTTGGATTCCATGGGGGGTCTTGGGATTAAATAGATGTATGATTTGATCACGTGTAATGGTGAATAGATGGGATTAAATGGGTACATAATCAACTATAATGGTGATATAATCGGAATATAGCCAACAGTCATAAGTCCACATAGGGTATATGATGTATACATATATAGGGAGATGTAATCGGTTTGATTCCACATTTAATGGAAAAAACTACCCACAGGTTTATCATAATTTCCCTGTTAGTTGATAGTTATTTTGAGGGATAGCCAATTTTTGAAACAAACATCACAACAAAGTCAGATGCCAAATACTGACGCTGAGTAGATCTTGATGTATTTCTCCAGGTAAAAATAAGAGCCAGAATCATGATGAGAAAAAATGATAGTAGTTTTAGGTCTCATGATGATGATAAACAAAAACACAAGAATGTTACAATGCATCTGTTTTTTGGCAGAAATGCACAAGAAATGTGCATGCAAAAACAATAGCAACCATCCCCCCCACCAGGGCCCTAACTTGGCCTTTTTCAGTCTCGGGTTGTTGCTTCAAACTCTTCTCTCGAAGTTCCAGACGTTTGTTCATCCTCAGGAAACCCAAGACTTGGAAAGATACGCTGTAGAAATATCGGGATAGCACGCGGACGAAAACGTTTTTTGATTGAAAGTACATGGGGTACACTATGACTACATGGGGATGAAAAGGCCGTCTACATATGCATTGCATTCCCTTCCGCCCTCTGTTTGGCTTAACAGCGCACTTTTCTGTGCCAGGGTCAAGGTGCCCATCTGCGAAGATCATCCTAGCCAATTCATGGCCTTGGGTGATTCAGGTAAGATCGCCGTAGCCAAACATTTGGCGTTAGGTGAGCAAAGTGGAAAAGTCCTAGCCAAAACTTGGTTTGGGCGTAACAAACTTGGTCAAAACCAAGTGCCAAACAATGGCTCCGAGACCAAAATTCCCAAAACCAAGCCCTAAACACTGGGGAAGGCATGCGTCAGCAAGGGCTTGGTCTTGGTTCAAACAGCAGTGAAGGCGGTAAGCAATCAGGCGCCTAAAAATCAAGGTCACTTGAAATTCCTTGGCACTGCCCGGGCCAAATTTTGCCAACACCATTGGATTTCAGAAACGTTGCCCTGGACAGTGACCATTACATCACGCAGCTGTATTCTTGCATCTACTTCTGTCTGCTTCAGTGGCAAGCTTTTGTTGTTCAAGCTTGTGCGTTGCACTGTTGTCTTTGCATTTCACTTCGCAAGCTCATTGGCCGAAGTGACTGTGTCGAAGAAAGCCCACTACGCAAAACCCATGGGCTCTAGCTTGCCCTGCCTGCACTTTCCAGTAGGAGCTATTGGTGCCCTTTTTTGACTTGGAGGCTTCCGACCAGACGGCCTCTTGCCAGACGGCAGTGCATTTCCAACTTTAGCCACTACATTCCTAAAGCCTTTCCAGCTGATACTCAAAGCTCTTCAGCTCCTCAAATATTCCACAGAAATTGGCAAGCTGAAATGTATGAACAGGCAAACGCGAGCTGATGTTCAAACAAGCAGCCCCAAGGATCATGACTTGGAGTCCAAGCTGCATGCCGGCTACGGCCATTGTGAAACACGGCCAGGCAACTGCAAAGGGGCAGCTTTTGCCAAGACCAATCGCAAGTCTGCCAATATGCAAGTCTGCCGAAGCTCCATGCAATGCGCTGAATGCACCTGATTCTTCAACAGCAACGATTCATCATCTGGAGCTGAGCTGGTACTGAAACTTTGTGTTTAGAGTGTTGGCTCCAGAAACATCTTTGATGAAGTCTGCATGCTATGCTGCTGCAGAAGTATCCCGGTAGTTGACAAATGTCGTTGAGGAAACTCGGCCCCTGAAGGCATGCGCAGCGATGGTACCAGTGGCTCCTCGCTTTTTGCCAATTGCAAAAACACCACGAACAACGCCTTCAAGAAAACGCTGCTCAAACGAAACGCAGACTATGCTTCGTACCATGCTTGCAAGCACAAGGCTCTCAGATGGCCAAGCACTCCAGGCACCAAGGCAGGTGAAGTGCAGGGAGCGGCCATATATTCCCCCGAGGCTACCCCAACAGCATCTGCCTGCAGCTTCCTCCACAATCCAAACGTACCGTCAAAACTTCTAATCTCTGAATGCGGAGTTCATGAGCCAATGATCAGAACAGCACGCTTTTGTCTGAATGACTCATGGGCCAATACTGCTCAAGATTTTCTAGGGATAGGTGTCATTTGCCATGGTGGGCCAAATAACTTATTTTGTGGCCAAGGGCGCTGAAGGCCTTCTTGCTCGTGTCACTGGCAAAGTTGTGGAAACCAAAGGAGATACAGTTGTGGTGGCCACCAGACCTTGTGACGTGAAAGGCATCCCGAACCATTTATTAGCTTCTGCTCCAGGTGACCATACCGAGATAACTTTCCTTCGAATCCCTGCCAGTTCTTGCGTCTATAGTAGGCCCCCTGTTTGGCTTGCCTGCGACCCTGGCCAGTTGCCAGATTCTGATTTGGGCTGCATGGGGAGAGCTTGGCCAAGAAGTGTTAGCAGCGAAGCGGAGAAACCGCACGTGGAAAAGAAAGGTGTCCACGCCAGAGCCCAAAAGCCCAGCTTTGTTAGAGGACTTGGGCCGCTTCAAAGGCATGTTTCAGGCGAGGGACTCGGAGAAGGACAGCTCAGACAGCGAGGGCCTGGCCCTGCAAAAAGTGAGCCGGAAGCATCAGCCTCCGGGAGGTCAGTTCATCCCGAGAACTTCCATCTGTCCAGAAAAAGAGCAGCCGAAAAAATGCTTCTCACCACGATATGATGCAGACACTGTTGGGGAAAGGGATCTCAGAGGGGAGGGGCAAGAGCCCAGCAGACCTCATGCCTTACCTGATGATGAGCTTCATGATGGACCAGCGCTCCAAGGGGTCGAAGAGAAGCCGTCGGGAACGGAAGCGGATCAAGAGGCATCCGCGGAAGATTTACAGTGGAGGATGGGGATTGTGAGGGGGCAATGTTGGACAGTACGAGATTACCTCAAAAAGCAGAACTGGGGGAAGGTCAAAGGCATGTACAGATGTGCCATGATGGACGCCCAGGCATACGAACAGTACTTTGCCGGAAGCTACCGGCGACTTTGCGCCACTCTTCCCATGCATGCTGCCTTACCCTGAAGCCATAGGTGATGGGGGTACAATCGAGGGTGCGACCGACCTGCTGTGGTGGGCCAAGCGACATGTGAATGTGTTTGTTGCCTGGTCAAACTATGTGGTGTTGGGCTGCCCGGATTGTCGAGGCAACACGCATGAGCCGCAGGTTGCTTATCTGTATCGCGAATCTGCGCGAAAGTTTGCAGATGAGTTGCTGGGCGAGGTGACTGAATTTGGCTCTAGCGATCTGATTGAGGATGCCCTCAACAAAAGGATAAATAAGGCAACCAGCTATGAAACCAAAAATCAGCGAAAACCAGTCAAGCTGCCAGTCCCCAGCGCCTTGCAAGCACCTTTCCAGCAGATAGCGATGATCCCTGTCAGCACGGTCAAAGGCGTGCAGCAGCAGCGCTATGGCACTCCCTGCTCCGGCGCCCGATGTGAGAGCTCGGGCCATATGCACTTGAAATGCACCATTGGATTAAAACATGCTCCTCATATATACATATTATATCTATCTATCTATCTATCTATCTATCTATCTATCTATCTATCTATCTGGATGGATGGATGGATGGATAGATTGTTAGTCAGATATAACCAACTAGAATGATCTAGAATGAGGAGATTGATGGGATTCAACAAGTTGACAACCAACTATAACGGAGATCTGAGATATGAAGTGGGGAAAATAACCAACATATTCATATTCATGATGTGGGTGCTTCAAAAATCAGGTATACCTCAAACGTATCATTGATTAGCATAGGGGGGTCCAATGTTTCAGACAACTCCATATATATGATTTCTAGTTGTTTCCAGGAAACTCAACACGTTGCTCCACCAAGATCTTCTTCTCTTGAACTTCCCTGTCACGTTGATTCCTTTCCTGCTGCTTCCAGGGGGCCCGAGTGTTGGGAAACCTTTCTTGATGATTCAGGTTGGGGGGCAAAAACACCAACTCTGAGAAAGAACAAGCCCCTGGATTCTGGGCCGGATTAAAAAAAACGCAAAGACTGGGAAATGGAACCAAATCTTCGGGATGGTATAAGCGGTGATATTTACCATACTGTCATGGGAATACCAACCAGCAACAAAAAAACCGAGTCCCTGCTTTCCCCTGCTTCACTGGAAAAATCAACGGACTATGCCCCAAATAAAGATCACCCAAAACATGGTGACAAAAAGGTCCTTGTGTCTGTGTGGACTACCCAAAGTGTTTGATCAGAATGGCCTACTTTTGGCTACGGTTATTCGCTGCTGTTGGTGAAATGCACTGGAAATATCTTGAAAATCCGAAATGTTGCCTGAAATCAGCGAAACCCCATTTCTAAATCCACACTACAAAGAATTTTAAATCCAGCATGTTCCAGTGGCACTGCTATCCATAAAAGGCTGAGGCTTTTTTTTGTCTCCTCCATGACGCCCTGCTCAAAGCGGTGCAGCTCAGCTTGAGCCATCTCCTCAAAGGCATCCCCCTTGAAATACCAAAATGTGAGCAATTGGCAATATATGATATACCATGATATAAGTATGATTAGTATAATTGATAAATATCATTAGTTGTCTGACAAGTTGATTAGTTGATATTAGTTGTATCTCCAAAAAGTGGTGCGGATTTGGGTCAATTCCGATAGAATGATATCGGATTTGGCAAATTTATGCTGTTTCATGCAAGTTTCAGGTTGCTCTTTTTCTTTCGAATATCGAGTCTACTGAGATCATCCCACGATGGCAACGTAAAGCAGGGGAATGGCTAGCATTCGTAGCATGTCGGGTATGGCTCGAGTCGGGGAACTGGCTAACTGACCCACAATTGATTGTCGGCATTGCTTGTTTTCGGTCTTAATTTGGGGATATTTGGGGTGCAATAACTTTGAACCATCCCATTTCACCAAAATGAATCGGGAAAACCAACTCGGTTTTAAAGAAAACGAAAAACAGAGGTAGCTAGAAGTCACCAATGAAGCTGAGCATGTGTACGCGAGGCAGTTTGAGCGTTTAAGCGAGAAAAAATGCGAATTCAACCATGCAAGAAAACAATCAATCAACAATATTGGAGCATGAGCAAACTGAAGACATGACGCGGAAAAAAAATGCCAGATGTTGTTGCATGGGTTTCACTCTAAAGTTCGGACGCTCGACACAGGGAGACGCCTCTGAAACTTGAGAAGCATAACTGGCATAACTCATCCTGGAATAGAAGGATATACAGCAAGTCCCAACAAATCTGGAGGCCACTTTCCCATGGTTTCCTCTAGATTTCCGCTTAAACCAATCCATTATTGCAATTATAATCCATTCATATCAAGTTTATGGTATTCTATGGTCATCTCATCTCCCGTCCTTGGCATGATAGGCATCATGGGACAACAGCAGGAGTTCCTCATAGTCACGCTCCTTGGTTTCTCAAAATCATGCTATTATGGCTTCCAAGAAAATGAACCCGATGAACCCGTTGAACCCGTTGACAAAGACCACATTTTCTAAACAAAAACATGCAAATGGTGATTCAATGTTGCTCAATGGGCAATATATGGCAATATTGACATATATTATCCATAGTTTGGGCATTGTTTGCCTTTGGTTTCCAATACGTGGAACTGGCAAATCAAAGGTCGGCTGAACAAACTGACCAAAGCTCTAGCCGTATTTTCCTAAATCAAATGTGGCGCTTTTGGATGTAAAGATCTCACATATGAAAATGGTTTCGTCTCTTTTGTCTCGAAATTGGTGACGTCCCCATCTTATGCCAATTTCACTTGGAAGAATCATGATGATATCTACTGTAATAAATTCATTTTTTCCCCATGTTCAAACTAATAATATGACGCAACTCATGCCATCAAATTTCTCCATCAACCACCCACATGTGTTTTTATTCCAAAAAATCTAGAAAGAGAAAAAAAAAACTGCAGCCCGCAACAAGGGCTACAAACAGCAGAGCTGGCAACCTACAACATTTACAGCCAGCAATGCAGGCTACAAACAGCAGGGGTGGGGCCAACATGAGGCATCTTGGGGCTGTAGGTTGGCAACCTACAGCATTTACAGCCAGCAATGCGGGCTACAAACAGCAGGGGTGGTAACATGAGGCATCTTGGGGCTTTAGGCTGGCAACCTACAGCATTTACAGCCAGCAATGCGGGCTAGAAACAGCAGCAGGGTTGGGCCAACATGAGGCATCTTGGGGCTGTAAGTTGGCAACCTAAAGCATTTACAGCCAGCACCTAAAAACAGCCTGGTTGGGGCCAACATTGGGCATCATGGGGCTGCAGGTTGGCAACCTACAGCATTTACAGCCAGCAATGCAGGCTACAAACAACAAGGTGGAGGCCAACATGACGCATCTTGGGGCTGTAGGTTGGCAACATGAGCCATCTTCAGGCTGTAGGTTGGCAACCTACAGCATTTACAGCCAGCAATGGACCCTAAAAACAGCTTGGGTTGGGGCCAACATGACGCATCTTGGGGCTGTAGGTTGGCAACCTACAGCATTTACAGCCAGCAATGCGGGCTACAAACAGCAGGGGTGGGGCCAACATGAGGCATCTTGGGGCTGTAGGTTGGCAACCTACAGCATTTACAGCCAGCAATGCGGGCTACAAACAGCAGGGGTGGGGCCAACATGAGGCATCTTGGGGCTGCAGGTTGGCAACCTACAGCATTTACAGCCAGCAATGCGGGCTACAAACGACATGGGTGGGGCCAACACGAGGCATCTTGGGGCTTTAGGTTGGCAACCTACAGCATTACAGCCAGCAATGCGGGCTACAAACAGCAGGGGTGGGGCCAACATGAGGCATCTTGGGGCTGTAGGTTGGCAACCTACAGCATTTACAGCCAGCAATGCGGGCTACAAACAGCAGGGGGCCAACATGAGGCATCTTGGGGCTGCAGGTTGGCAACCTACAGCATTTACAGCCAGCAATGCGGGCTACAAACAGCAGGGGTGGGGCCAACATGAGGCATCTTGGGGCTGTAGGTTGGCAACCTACAGCATTTACAGCCAGCAATGCGGGCTACAAACAGCAGGGGTGGCGCCAACACGAGGCATCTTGGGGCTGTAGGTTGGCAACCTACAGCATTTACAGCCAGCAATGCGGACTACAAACAGCAGGGGTGGTGCCAACATGAGGCATCTTGGGGCTGTAGGTTGGCAACCTACAGCATTTACAGCCAGCAATGCGGGCTACAAACAACATGGGTGGGGCCAACACGAGGCATCTTGGGGCTGTAGGTTGGCAACCTACAGCATTTACAGCCAGCAATGCGGGCTACAAACAGCAGGGGTGGGGCCAACATGAGGCATCTTGGGGCTGCAGGTTGGCAACCTACAGCATTTACAGCCAGCAATGCGGGCTACAAACAGCAAGAGTGGGGCCAACATGAAGCATCTTGGGGCTGCAAGTTGGAAACCTACAGCATTTACAGCCAGCAATGCGGGCTACAAACAACATGGGTGGGGCCAACACGAGGCATCTTGGGGCTGTAGGTTGGCAACCTACAGCATTACAGCCAGCAATGCGGGCTACAAATAGCAGGGGTGGGGCCGACATGAGGCATCTTGGGGCTGTAGGTTTGCAACCTACAGCATTTACAGCCAGCAATGGACCCTAAAAACAGCTTGGGTTGGGGCCAATGAGGCATCTTGGGGCTGCAGGTTGGCAACCTACAGCATTTACAGCCAGCAATGCGGGCTACAAATAGCAGGGGTGGGGCCAACATGAGGCATCTTGGGGCTGTAGGTTGGCAACCTACAGCATTTACAGCCAGCAATGCGGGCTACAAACAGCAGGGGTGGTGCCAACATGAGGCATCTTGGGGCTGCAGGTTGGCAACCTACAGCATTTACAGCCAGCAATGCGGGCTACAAACAACATGGGTGGGGCCAACACGAGGCATCTTGGGGCTGCAGGTTGGCAACCTACAGCATTTACAGCCAGCAATGCGGGCTACAAATAGCAGAGGTGGGGCCAACATGAGGCATCTTGGGGCTGTAGGTTGGCAACCTACAGCATTTACAGCCAGCAATGCGGGCTACAAACAGCAGGGGTGGTGCCAACACGAGGCATCTTGGGGCTGCAGGTTGGCAACCTACAGCATTTGCAGCCAGCAATGCGGGCTACAAACAGCAGGGGTGGGGCCAACATGAGGCATCTTGGGGCTGCAGGTTGGCAACCTACAGCATTTACAGCCAGCAATGCGGGCTACAAACAACATGGGTAGGGCCAACACGAGGCATCTTGGGGCTGCAGGTTGGCAACCTACAGCATTTACAGCCAGCAATGCGGGCTACAAACAACATGGGTGGGGCCAACACGAGGCATCTTGGGGCTGCAGGTTGGCAACCTACAGCATTTACAGCCAGCAATGCGGGCTACAAACAACATGGGTGGTGCCAACATGAGGCATCTTGGGGCTGTAGGTTGGCAACCTACAGCATTTACAGCCAGCAATGTGGGACCCTCCGGGAATCGAACATGGTATTTGAAAATCCACAGATCACGTTCCAAGTAGAATGTAATTTATAAAGGATTTCACGTTGCCATGTTTGATGACCAGAAGGCATTTTTTTGTGCAGTGGAAATCACCACTCCGCTGGCTGCCATATGGAATCCAAGCCTATCGAACACGGGAACCTACATACAGTTGACATACTGAAGCATTCAGTTCGATGTTTAATATTGTCTGGGAACAGTTCAAACTCATCCCAGTTCCAAGGTGGTTTTCTAAACAAATAACCCAGATGCAAACCTGCACATAATTGATGAAAATCGTGAAAATTCCATAGCTAGGGACCCAATTTGAAATTTGGGATCAACAAAATCAACAAAATCAACAAAATCAACAAAATCAACAAGCCAAATGGTTTTCCAATTGGGATTTCCCTGGATCCCGAGTTTCTTTCGCCTTGAGCGTGTGTTCAATGGCACAGAGTTGGTTATCGAAACCGATCCTTTCATCCTGGCAGAGAACATGACTTCGGAAGATCTGCCAGGCATTGCCAGGCGAATCTGATGGATCTGATGGATCTGATGGATCTGATGGATCTGATGGAGATAGACAATTCTTGGACCCGGAGAACACCACATCACCAGCTACCCGCAACGGGAACCATCTGAAGCCAACATGAACCAAATGGTTTTATCATAATTTACCCAATTCAAATTCAAATTGCCAAAATTCACTCAAAATTTCCCATTTCTGGCAAAAACCAGAATATGTTTTTTCCAATTTTCTCATTCATTCCCTATATATGTCCATTATATGTCCAGTTTATCCAGCATTTTCGTTTGCTAAAACCCAATGTTTGTTGGTTGACAGCAGTGTCCTTCAAACGCTTCACGATAGCCTCATAGGTCTTCCGAATGCTTTGAGCCTGTGGGGAAAGGTCAAATCGACTGGTTCATGAAAACTGCGGAAGATCATTGTTGAATAATGGTAAATCCGGTAAAACCAAAGGTAAAACCAAATCATGAACCTCCACTTTTGGAGGGTTTGTACCATCCATTTGTGGTGATATTGGGATGTGTTTACCGGTAGTGCCGCACAAGGCGGTGGCGGAAGTTTCAAAGATAGGACACTATAGGAGAGGTGAGTTGTTGTGATGCATGGATGGCAGAGCGAATCCACTGGTGGACCGAAAGGTGGTTGGAGTTTTTTTCGAGTGGCTGCAATGGTTGCAGCGGTCACCTCATCCACAACTGCTGGATGTAGTGTGGTGTAGCGCAGCTGTAGTTGTAGCTGTAGTGTAGTGGAGCTGTAGTTGTAATTGTAATGTGATTAGTGTAGTGTAGTTGCAGTTGTAGTTGTGGTGTGGTGTAACGAGTGTAATGGAATGTAGTGTAGTGTGCTGTAGTGTTGTGTGTTGTAGTGTAGTCTAGTGTAGTGTACTGTAGTGCACTGTAGTGTAAAGTAGTGTAGCTGTAGGTGTAATGTAGCGTGGTGTAGTGTAATGTAGTGTAGTTGCAGTTGCAGTTGCAGTTGTAGTTGTAGTTGTAGTGTAATTAATGTAGCGTAGTGTTGTGTAATCTAGTGTAGCGTAGTGGTGGCAACATCAAAAACGAAACAATTCTGCGAGACTTCCTTCAATTTTCAAAGCTGACAACATCAAAAATTAAAGGACCAGATAACCCCACATGTTAAGCCTTCCGATTGTTATGAGACGAGGGTGATGACTTGGGATATCTTGGGATGGTGGGAGCAGATGGGTGGATGGATGGATGGATGGATGGATGGATGGAGAGAGAGATAGATAGATAGATAGATAGATAGACAGACAGATAGATAGATTGATTGATAGATTGATTGATAGATTGATAGATTGATAGATTGATAGATTGATAGATTGATAGATTGATAGATAGATAGATAGATTGATTGATAGATAGATTGATAGATAGATTGATAGATAGATTGATAGATTGATAGATTGATAGATTGATAGATTGATAGATAGATAGATAGAGAGAGATAGAGAGAGAGAGAGAGGTAGATAGATAGCTAGATACAGAGAGACAGAGAGACAGAGAGACAGAGAGACAGAGAGAGAGATAAATAGATAAATCGATAAATACATAGATAGATAAGATAGATAGATAGATAGATAGATAGATAGAAAGATAGGTAGATAGATAGATAGACAGAGAGACAGAGAGAAAGAGAGACAGAGAGAGAGAGAGACAGAGAGAGAGAGAGACTGATAGGTAGATGGATAGATAGGTAGATGGATAGATGGATAGATGGATAGATGGATCAATGGATAGATGGATAGATGGATAGGTACATGGATATATAGATGGATAGATGGATAGATAGATGGATAGATAGATGGATAGATGGATAGATAGATGGATAGATGGATAGATGGACAGATGGATCAATGGATCGATGGATAGATGGATGGATGGGTAGATGGGTATAGATGGATAGATGGATAGATGGATAGATGGATAGATGGATAGATGGATAGATGGATAGATGGATAGATGGATAGATGGATAGACGGATAGATGGATAGATAGAGAGATAGAGAGATAGAGAGATAGATAGATAGACAGATAGATAGATAGACAGATAGATCGATAGATCGATCGATAGATCGGAAACCAATCTGAAACCAGTCGGAAACCAGTCTGAAACCTGTCGGACACCAGTCGGAAACCAGTCTGAAACCAGTCGGAAACCATTCTGAACCAGTCCAAACCACAGTCTGAAAAGTCTGAAACCAGTCGGAAACCACTCGCAAACCAGTCGGAAACCAGTCGGAAACCAGTCGGAAACCAGTCGGAAACCAGTCTGAAACCAGTCGGAAACCAGTCGGAAACCAATCTGAAACCAGTCGGAAACCAGTCGGAAACCAATCTGAAACCTGCAGAAACATACCATCAGCTACATGGCTGGGACCCTGGATATTACACTGTAGACCCATAAAACGGGGTCTGAAGAAGAGTTACATAGCTATATCACGTAAAAACAATTTCAATGGTGTAGACCCTTGGACCTTACAGATGCTGAAGGTCTGAAGACGTTTACCCATGCGTCAAAAATACCAAAAAAAACTGTTCCAAACAACATGTTTTCTCTCGCTCATTTTTGAAATCTTATGGAATAACAATTTGGAAAAAAATATTATCAAATCTTATGAATAACAATTTGGAAAAATCTTATGAAATCTTATGAATAACAATTTGGAAAAAAAAACTTATGAAATCTTATGAATAATAATTTGGAAAAATCTTATGAAATCTTATGAATAATAATTTGGAAAAAAAAATCTTATGAAATCTTATGAATAACAATTTGGAAAAAAAAACTTATGAAATCTTATGAATAACAATTTGGAAAAAATCTTATGAAATCTTATGAAAAACAATTTGGAAAAAATCTTATGAAATCTTATGAATAATAACAATTTGGAAAAAATCTTATGAAATCTTATGATTAATAATTTGGAAAAAAAATCTGATGAAATCTTATGAAAAACAATTTGGAAAAAAATCGTATGAAATCTTATGAAAAACAATTTGGAACAAAATCTTTTGAAATCTTATGAATAACAATTTGGAAAAAATCTTATGAAATCTTATGAAAAACAATTTGGAAAAAATCGTATGAAATCTTATGAATAACAATTTGGAAAAAATCTTATGAAATCTTATGAAAAACAATTTGGAAAAAATCGTATGAAATCTTTTGAATAACAATTTGGAACAAAATCATCTTATCAAATCTTATGAATAACAATTTGGAAAAAATCTTATGAATAACAATTTGTCCAGACCTTTGTACGACCTGGGGAATCTAGCGTGGCAAAGGTCTAGAAACACAATGGCCAGCAAAACCAATCTGTGTTGATCAAGGCCAGAAACGCTGTCCAGACCTTTGGACAAACTGTGGAATCTAGCTTGGCAAAGGTCCAGGGCTACAATGGTCAGCAAAACCAACCTGTCTTGATCAGTGCCAGAAATGTTGTCCAGACCTCTGTAAGACCTGGGGAATCTAGCTTGGCAAAGGTCTAGGGCTACAATGGTCAGCAAAACCAACCCGCCCTGATGATTGCCAGAAAAGCTGTCCAGACCTTTGAAAAAGCAAGATCTGCCTTACATCTTCAAAGTTGAAAATTATGGGACATCCATATATCATGTCCAACATAGACACGCTCAAGGGTCTATAGTACCTTAAATGCAGAGGGTCTACAGCGCTCTAGGAAGTACTCTAGACCCTGGGCCCCTGAGACCTGGGGGTCTGGGTATACCCTGGACCTTATGTAGTTGAGGGGATGCAGAAACCAGATTGAAACAGTCTGAAACCAGTCGGAAACCAATCGGAAACCAATCGGAAACCAGTTGGAAAACAGTCGGAAACCAGTCGGAAACCAGTCGGAAACCAGTTTGAAACAATTTGAAACAACTCGAAAACCACTCGGAAACCAGTCTGAAACCAGTCCGAAACCAATCGGAAACCAGTTTGAAACCAGTTTGAAACCATTCTGAACCAGTTTGAAACCAATTTGAAACCAGTCTGAAACCAGTCGGAAACCAATCGGAAACCAGTTTGAAACCAGTTTGAAACCATTCTGAACCAGTTTGAAACCAATTTGAAACCAGTCTGAACCAGTCTGAAACCAGTCGGAAACCACTCGCAAACCAGTCGGAAAGCATTCTTAAACCGCTCTGAAATGATCTGAAACCAGTCTGAAACCAGCCGGAAACCACGCGGAAACCAGTCCGAAACCGGTCCGAAACCAGTCGGAAACCATTCTGAACCAGTTTGAAACCAGTCGGAAACCCATCTGAAACCAGTCGGAAACCAATCAGAAACCAGTCGGAAACCAGTCGGAAACCAGTTGGAAACCAGTCGGAAACCAGTCGGAAACCAATCGAAAACCAGTCGGAAACCAGTCGGAAACCAGTCGGAAACCAGTACTACTGTGTATTACAAAGCTCGCGCAAACTACTTCCCAGTACTACATTGCACTACAAAGCTCGCACAAACTACTTCCCAGTACTACTTTGTATTACGAAACTTGCACAAACACGTTCCCAGTACTACCGTATACTACAAAACCCGCACAAAGTCGCTTCAGTACTACCGTATACTACAAAGATCGCACAAAGTCGCTCCCAGTACTACCGTATACTGCAAAACTCGCACAGACACGTTCCAGTACTACCGTATACTACAAAATCCGCACAAACACGTTGCAGTACTACCGTATACTACAAAACTTGCACAAACACGTTCCAATACTACCGTATACTACAAAACTCGCACAAAGTCGCTCCATTACTACCGTATACTACTACAAAACTGCTACAAACACGTTGCAGTATACTACCGTATACTACAAAACTTCTGAAACCAGCCTGAAACCACTCGGAAACCAGTCGGAAACCACTCTGAAACCAATTTGAAACCAGTCCGAAACCACTCTGAACCAGCCTGAAACCAGTCCGAAACCAGTCTGAACCAGTCAGAAACCAGATTGAACCAGTCTGAAACCAGTCGGAAACCAGTCGGAAACCAGTCAGAAACCAGTCGGAAACCAGTCGGAAACCACTTGGAAACCAGTCGGAAACCAGTCGGAAACCACTCGGAAACCAGCACTACTCCGCACAAACTACTTCCCACTACTCTTGTGTACTACAAAGCTCGCACAAACTACTACCCAGTACTACTTTGTACACAAACACGTTCCCAGTACTACCGTATACTACAAAACCCGCGCAAAGTCGCTTCAGTACTACCATATATACTACAAAGCTGGCACAAAGTCGCTCCCAGGACTACCGTATACTGCACAACTCGCGCAAACACGTTCCAGTACTACCGTATACTACAAAATCCGCACAAACACGTTGCAGTACTACCGATATACTACAAAACTTGCACAAACACGTTCCAGTACTACGGTATACTACAAAACTCGCACAAAGTCGCTCCAGTACTACCGTATGCTACTAAACTCGCACAAACACATTCCAGTACTTATACCGTATACTACAAAACTTGCACAAACGTTCCAGTACTACCGTATACTACAAAACTTGTACAAACACGTTCCAGTACTACCGTATACTACAAAACTTGCACAAACACGTTCCAGTACGACCGTATACTACAAAGCTCGCACAAAGTCGCTCCCAGTACTACCGTATGCTACTAAACTCGCACAAACACATTCCAGTACTACCGTATACTACAAAACTTGCACAAACACGTTGCAGACATCTCAGAGATCTCCGACTAGATTGAGCGCGAGCTGAACGTTCACTCCTGAGTGGGTTGGTAATTAACTATTGTCACTGGTTTTTTGATTACATAATCCGTTAACAGTTGACCGTATCAGAGCGTGACTACCTTGTCCATGGGTCAAAAAAAGCCCTGCGTTAGCAGGGCGTGTGTGTGAACCATCTGAAAAGATGTAAAACTTCGATTTCCGTTTTTACTTGTTCATTTTAAGCAGGGGGTATGCGGCCATCATGCAAACGCATGCCAACGAAGCTATGTATGATGGTGGAAGCCGGGGCTGATCACCCTCGTGTACCTGCTTTATCATTTCAATTTTCAGCAATGGGACGTGGCTAACCCGAGAACCACCTTGCCGAATTTTCTTTCAAACTGTGTCAAACCAAACCCAAACTCTCAGTTTTCCATTCGATGTCACTTCACTGCCTGCACGGTTTTCGCAATCTGTTAGGAGAGAACCATTTCGAATTTTCTCGGATCTTGTCATCATACCTTTCCTGTCAGGTTTAATTGAAGTGCTTTTGCACGAAAGATGCATTCCACATCAGAATTCGCAATGTCTGTTCTGAGCAAGTGTGTGTGTGTGTGTGTCAGTCCTGTGTGTGTGTGCGTGTGTGTCTGCGTGTATATATATATATGTGTAAACATGTTTCTCTGCCTGTGTCTGTGTTTGAGCGCCTATCAGCATATCTGTGTGTGTTTGTATTTTTCACATCTTCTCTACAGCATACCTTGTCTGTCTCTTGCAACTAAAACCCTGACATCTTCACATCTTCTCATCTTGACATCTTCACAATTTCTCACGAACATATTCATGTCAGTCTTTGGCGTCTGCAAATCATACAACTTCATAACACATCTGAGTACGTGTACACCTACTCGCTCTCGGGCCAACTGTCGTCTAGTTTTCTCCCATGATGAGGAAAATCCGACAAACTCGGCGCCTCGTTGTATTTGATCATCACCTTGTCCAAACGATTTTCCAAAACCCTGATCTGCCGCATTTCTGGAGACGTTTCGTTGGAGTGCATCCTGAAGAACGGAGGACGGATGTGTAACACTTTAAGGAAATTTAACGTCAAAAATGGGTAAACACCATCAAAAAAAGGATTTAACATGATTTGACTATGGAAAGGGATTCAACATGGAAGTACATGGATTCAACTATGGTGTCATCTGACAATCTGCGAGGAATGAGCTGGAAGATCACCCTCTTTTTAGGTCATCAATCGGTCATATTCGCTAAGTGAAATTACGGGATGGTCCTAGAAAAATCAGCAGCGCAGATCGAATCCACAGAAATAGAGGTTCTTCGTTTTTGAGCCGTTTTCTGTTCAGAATTTGAGGTGTTTTTTTTGAGTTGGATGTCGTCATTGATCATCAATGATCATCAATGATCGTCATGGCTGATGAAGTTGAGATGGACATATTTGACTGGTTGTTTCTGCACTAGTTTCAACCCCATCACCAAAAATTGGATCCAACAAAGTAGAACTAATTCATCCGCAGATCATCACAGATCTGTTGGGTGCTGAAGTTGCCTGCGAACACGAAGATCACAGTGTGTTGCCATGTTCAAACCATTGCAGCCTAAGAAATGAACCAAAGGACCAAACTCTAAAGACATGAAAATTTGAAGTTTGAGGGCTTTGGAATTAAGTAAAATCGAAACCAGTGATAGTCGTGATAGTCACTCTGCCATCATCGTAGGTGAAAATCCTTGGTGTCAAAATGTTACCCTCATCGCTTTTGATCCTCCGGTTTGACCCCAAAACCCCGTCATTCTCCAGTCAACGCCTCTTTAAATTCTCAAATCGGAAAGGGGTTAAAACATGTTTTTTAACATGCTGTTTAACATGTGAATATGTACCACGGCAATGGTATACAATGGTATATACAGGTGGCCTGACCCTCCGAAGCAAACTCCAAAACTCCAAATTCCGACAGGCGGCTTGGAACCCATCGACAACTCGTCTTTTTTGATGTCCAACTGATCCAGAAAGCCACGCCTTGAACGAAATTCCATACAGAATCCGAGCCAGGAACTGTATCTCCAATTCAAAATCATGAAAAACTGGTGGGAATCGATTCAAATCGATACCTCAGTTTTGCACTATTCAACACATTTCAGTAATTTCAATGTTTAAATCTGTTGAACCCAGGGCAGGACAGGGCCGGGCCCCAAGGGTCGGGGTCCCCAGGGTCGCCAGGGTCGCCAGGGTCGCCAGGGTCGCCTCTTGTTGTTCTCGTTTTTGATCATGTCAAATCTCCTCCCAAAGGTTCATGCCACAGTTGCAGTTGCAAACATTTTAGATATTAGATATAAAAATATGGCATATAAAATGTTTAACAGCATATATGACCTTTATGCTTAAATATTTTAAAATATCGTGATATTCTATAGCTTGTGTATTGTGTAATAACCTTGTACAGTATCATGCTTTCCTACTCCCATCTTTTGCCAATCATTAAACAAGATGGAAGCCACGAACCCGAATGTATTCACGTTCTTGGGCTACGAGTCCAAACCTCTGCAATAGGAAAACGAATTTTTTTTTCACGCATCGTGCGTTCATATCGTCTCAGCGAAGGCACTTGAGCAACAGTTCACAAAGAGACAACTAACCAGCACAGCAACATCACCACCAGCAAAAAAAATCACCACCAGCACAACAACATCGCCAGCGCAATGAAATCCAACGAAATCACCAGCGCAACAAAATTCCCAGAACGAACGAAATCACCAGCGCAACGAAATCACCAGCACAACGAACGCACCAGCGAACAGCACCAGCACAACAACATCACCAGCGCAACGAAAGCACCAGCACAACGAAATCACCAGCGAACAGCACCAGGGCAACAAAATCACCAGAACAAACGAAATCACTAGCACAACGAAATCACCAGCACAACAACATCAACAGCACAACAACATCACCAGAACAACGAGATCACCACCACCTGCAACACTCCACACTTTACCCACTGCACACTCCACACTCCGCACCCTACACTTTACACTCCACTCCCCACACTCCACACTTTACACTCCACACGCCACACTTTACACTCCACACTCCTTACTTTACACTCTGCACTCCACACTCCACACTCGACACTTTCCACTTCACACTCCACACTCTACACTTTACACTCCACACTCCACACTTTACACTCTACACTTTACGCTCTACACTCCACACTCTACACTTTACACACTCTACACTCCCCACTCCACACTGCTTACTTTACACAAAATTTGCACAAACTACTTCCCAGTACTACTGTGTACTACAAAGCTTTCACAAAGTCGACCAGCGCAACAGAATCACCCGCACAAACAAAATCACTAGCACAACGAAATCACCAGCACAACGAAATCACCAGAACAACAACGTCACCAGCACAACAACATCACCACCACAACTTAACACTCCACGCTTTCCACATTACACTCCACACTCAACACTCCACACTTTACACTCCACACTCCACAATCAAAACTTTACACTCCACACTCCACACTCTACACCCTACACTGTACACTCCACACTTTACCCACTGCACACTCCACACTCCACACTTTACATTCCACACTCCTCACTCCTCACTGAACACTCCACACACTACACTCCACACTCCACACTCCACACTCCACACTCCACACTCCACAACACTCCACACTCCACACCCAACCACACTCTACACTCTACACACACCAAACTCCTCACTCCACACTTTACACTCCACACTTTCCACTCCACACGCCACACTCCACACTCTACACTTTACACTCCACACTCCACACTTTACACTTTACACTCTACACTCCACACTCGATACTTTCCACTTCACACTCCACACTCGATACTTTCCACTCCACACTCCACACTCTACACTTTGCACTCCACACTCCACACTTTATACTTCACACTCCTCACTCCACACCAACACTCAGCACTTTGCACTCCACACTTTACACTCTACACTTTACACTCCACACTCCACACTCTACACTTTACACTCTACTCTTTACACACTCCACACTCCCCACTCCACACTCCACGCTCCTTACTTTACACAAAGTTTGCACAAAGCACTTCCCAGTACTACTTTGTACTACAAAGCTTGCACAAAGCACTTCCAAGTACTACTGTGTACTACAAAGCTTGCACAAAGCACTCCCCAGTACTACTGTGTACTAGAAAGCTTACAGTACTACTGTCTACTACAAAGCTTGTAGAAACTACTTCCCAGTACTACTGTGTACTACGAAGCTTGCACAAACACAATCCAGTACTACTGTATACTACAAAGCTTGCACAAACACGTTCCAGTAACACTGTGTGCTACAAAGCTTGCACAAAGTCGTTCCCAGTACTACTGTGTACTACAAAGCTTGCACAAACACGTTCCAGTACTACTGTGTACTACAAAGCTTGCACAAAATCGTTCCCAGTACTACTGTGTACTACAAAGCTTGCACAAAGTCGTTCCCAGTACTACTGTGTACAACAAAGCTTGCACAAAGTCGTTCCCAGTACTACTGTGTACTACAAAGCTTGCACAAAGTCGTTCCCAGTACTACTGTATACTACAAAGCTCGCACAAACACGTTCCAGTACTACTGTGTACTACAAAGCTTTCACAAAGTCGATCCCAGTACTATTGTGTACTACAAAGCTTGCACAAACACGTTCCAGTACTACTGTGTACTACAAAGCTTGCACAAACACTTTCCCAGTACTACTGTGTAGCTTGCTTATATTTAGCTGTATTTTTGTATTTTTAATTTTTTGGGGGGGCCTGAGATATTTTTTGTATTTTTTGTTTGGCCGAGCTATTTGAGAATCTCGTTTGCTTCAACAATAACTGATTTGGGATACCCTTTGCAACCCTAACTTGTGACATCTAAGACATGTACGGAACATGTTGTTTGTTTCCCTGGTCCTTTCCTTTGCAAACTTCATACATATTCGTACATGTTTTTCACTTTCCATTGGCTCTTTCAATTTTTCTCGTCGAGGCAGCTGAAGAGGTATTTGAAACTATTGCTGGCTTATTTTTATTTCTCGTTTGCAATTTGGGTCAGTAGCTGTCAAACACGACAGCAGCATTGCTGCTTTTGCAATGGCAGATTGCTTCGATCCAAGTGGCTTGTCTTGGGCTGGAAATGGGGCTCACAGTTCCGTATTTCATGTCATCACCCAGAGCTGGGAACTTGGCTGCGCACGCCGTGGGGTGTTGACTGCACGGTTTTAGCCAAAGCGGATTGACAAGCGTCTGAGCAAACAATGCCCATTCACATTCAAAAAAAACATTCCAAAAGCATCAAAGGACAAAGGCGGTGGCTGTTCGGCTGCTTAGGCTCAGCATGTCCACGCAGCGAGGAGTGCTGTTTCGGCCCTGCGTCAGACTCGGCTCCTGCTTGCGAAGCGTTTTCAAATGTTGACCTCAAGTGAGGCTGCTTCGGCCTTAGCGGTAGCTGTTTCAGCCAAGCCCTTGCAGCATCAGGCATGCTGCTTCCGGCTGTCAAAGCTGCTTTGGCGTGTTTTGACGCTGTTCCGACTTCTCAGTTTGAAGCTGCGTTACATACTTCTGCGTTACATACTTAGTCAGTTTTTGTACATAGCAGATCGTGATGGACTTTTCGCAAAAATAGGAATTGGCTGAGGTGGGCTGAAGCGTCAGGGTAAAGACTTTGGGTTTCTGGTCGCTACATGGAATCTACCAATGGGTTGAATCTAAGAGACGATTACCCACAAATATTGGGAGATTCAATGAAAGCTTTGATTTGGAGAGAGGCTTGGCTACTTAATATGTGTTTTTTGTCCTCTCCTTAGGAGCATCAAACAAATTCAACGGACCTCGAATCAACGGGTGGGAATGTCCTCTCCTTAGGAGCTTCGGGGTTGTCCTTGAACCTCCTAAGGGAGGACGACAAGGGGACGAAACTGAAATACTTTTAAATATGAGTTTTTCAAAGGCCTTTGTCCCATGGTTGTCCTCTCCTTAGGAGCCTCGGGGACGTCCTTGAACCTGCTAAGGACAGGACGAATTGTCCTCTCCTTAGGAGCATGCCTGAGATCCGCTTCGCTTCAGGAGCCTCGGCTCAAGCACTTCACGGAAGCTTGTGGCTGAAAACTGGCCACGCCATCTCTACGCCAAAGAGGCGGCAGCTGTCTCGGCTACTGTAGCTGCAGCTGCTTCGGCAACTTAGCTGCTTCGGCTTCTGGTGGCTGCTTTGGCCACAAGTATGCCACCGCGGCATCGACCAAAGTCAGATCAGCTGGAAAGGGCCGGATCTTAGCCACATAGACTGCGGCGGGGTGCTGTCTTCAAAGTCGGATGTAAGATGCAAAAAAATACAAGTGGAAAAGTGGATAAACATGCGTTGCGGCAGCTGCAGACACCCTGTAGACTCAGTTCAGCAAACAGCAATTGATTTATAACAGGTGCAACGAAGATTAAAAAAAGCTCACACATTTCAATTTCAATGTGTTTCCTTCTGCAGCTGTTTCAGCCCAAGCGCTAACTCAGAATCAGCCAGCTGTGCACTCTGTAGTGCTAAGGACCCTTTAAATCAAGCAAGCTGAAAGAGATCTGCGCTTAGTCCAAATACGGATAGTTGGAACTTTGGGGCTCGAAAAGTTGTTTCAGAAGCACCGCAAGTTGAAATGCAGCAAGTGGGGATCCCGTGGGTCGCCCATGTTGCATATTAAGAAAGAGGGGCCAAAGATGACTTTGCCAGAGCTGAAGTCGGCTTGGCATTCCAACTGTGGCTGTTTCAGCCAAGGTCTGTGTCGGATTTGTTGGATGGTGGCTGGTTCGGCCATCAACAGGTCTGTTTCAGTTTCTAACCCAATTGCTTCAATCAAAACGCAAAAAGATATTTGCAAAACTCGTCTGCTAGCAGGGGAAAAAGCGTGGCCACGGCTCTTAAGATATTTTTCTCAAAGTTGGTGTTGGGCATTGTGTCGCGTATCTTTGCCGCGACTAAGTTGCAGTCTTAAGTTTGTGTTGGCCTTTTACATTCTACTTCAAGGTTGTTTATTGTGAAGCCCCTCTTGTTATGTTGCGGCAAAGTTTAAGGAAGAAAGACGTGAAAGATATTTGTTATTCTCGTTTGCACCTCTTCCTTTTTGTTGGATTTCTCGTTGACGGCCCAAAAAAAAAACAAAAATACAGCTAAATATACGCAAGGTAGTACAAAGCTTGCACACACACGTTCCAGTACTACTGTGTACTACAAAGCTTACACAAACACGTTCCCAGTACTACTGTGTACTACAAAGCTTGCACAAAGTCGTTCCCAGTACTACTTTGTACTACAAAGTTTGCACAAAATCGTTCCCAGTACTACTGTGTACTACAAAGCTTGCACCAAAGCACTTCCCAGTACTACTGAGGTTTTGCAGCTTCCCCCATAGACACGGCGACGTGAGTGCAGCAAAACGAACGAGGTTTTGCAGCTTCCCCCAAAGACACGGCGACGCCAGAGGAGAAGCAGAGAGGGAGGTTTTGCAGCTTTCCCCATAGACACGGCGACGCCAGAACGAGGTTTTGCAGCTTCCCCCATAGACACGGCGACGCCAGAGGAGAAGCAGAGACTGAGGTTTGGAATTCCCCCATAGACATGGCGACGTGTGCGCAGCAAAACGAACGAGGTTTTGCAGCTTTCCCCATAGACACGGAATTAACGACGCGAAAACGACGCAAAAAACGTCGCGAAAAACGTTGCGACGACCAACTGGCGGCGAACAAGGGTCCAGCCCCCAGACCACCAGATTATAAACGGGAACCCTTCGCTACGCAATCGGGAAATGTGACAGGTTGGTCGGGCGAAAACCGCGCGAATGTCCTCTGCATTTGTTGAACCTCATTACCTGCGATGAACTCGGGGACAAGTGAAATGTTCGAAATGTTCGAAATGTTCGCTCAGATTCCTCGTTTTTGGTGGACCAACCGAGGTTTCAAAAATATCCAAAAACGAAAATCAAGGATATGATAGATATGCATAATTACATTCGTCAATTGGAAAATGTGAAAAAATATGGAAAAAATGAACATGTCAAAAAATAAAAGGAAAAAATCGGGAAAAAAAATATCACATCTTCCAGCGTTTGTCACCCTTTGTCCAGGTTGCTGGTCGAATCCAAGACTTTCTCCAAGGATTGTGGTTTCTCATCTCGCAACTGTGCGATCTGATTTCTGAGCCTCAGCCAGCTGCCAAATCATCCAAGGTATGTTTGGAGTAACCCCCAGAAAACCAAAGTACTTTGCCACAATCCTAGTACTATCTATTAATACAAATTATTAATACATCTATATACTAGGATTGAAAGATTTCAAGTCTTTTGCAAATTACTATATACAACCTTAATGTTGGATGTTTATCCGCCAAATCCATGGACTTCACAAGATATTGCCCTCCAACCAATTCCTTAAACTCAGAAAATCGCAGAAATTCACAGAAATTCATCGCAGAAATTCACATGCTTTTCCAAGCAACATCTTGTTTTCATCCTTCATCTGACCGATGATTTCCTGGTGATCTTCACAAGCGGAAAATCATCAGAAATTTCACAACTGAAATCCCATTAAAAACTGCCTGACTCACGAGTTGCAATAATCTCTATCTAACTAGGTAGATCTAGGTAGATCATGGTAGATCTAGGTAGTATAACCAGAAAAATAATCTAGCAACAACAGTACTTCGGTTTGGGCATTGCACAGGTGCTTCTGACGGGATCGGATTCTCAGGATGACTCAATAGAGACCATGCAAATTAAACAGCAAGAAAAATAGCACCCGTCCCTGGGGCCAATTCCCAAATTCGAAGCACTGCCTTGTTCTGCTGAATATTCAATTTGGCGGTCTCATAGGTCGCCTTCCTTTCCTCAGCCGAATTCGACTGATGGAGTGGTAAAGTCCGATCTATGTCCGATCTGACACCGATCTGTTTAAAAAAAATTGTCAAAAAGAAATTCCCACTCAGCGGCAGTCGAACCTGGGCCATGTTTAGAATCAAAACATTTTTAGATATGTTCAGTTATGTTCAGTTGGCAATTTTTGCACGGATGACACTAGATCACTACAATTAGGAGGTAATCCACTACAAACTACCAATAACATGTGTTTGTTCGTGAAGTGGGAAGAAATTGCAGTAAAAATCCGTCAAAATGAAGAGCAAATGAAAGCAAAAACCATCCTTTTTCCAACCCCTTTCCGACAACAAAAACACCAAGGGCACCAACAACAGCTTCACCAAATTGTCTAGCCTCTTTTCAACAGCATCTGCATCTGGCCTACTTCCGAAATCCTGTGGCATGTGTTTTCGGAAGGGACTGTTGCGAGCGGTGAATTTCAAGTTCTTGGGGTGGGCATTCAAAGAAGAAACTCACACTCACAACAGTTTGTTCTAAATGTAGGCTATCCTATAGCACGTCTCTTCACAAACGCATGTGTCTGGCACATCAACGCTCTGGTCTGTCTCACTTCCACCAAGATTAATCCTGATTATACCACCGGACTGAAAGTTAGAATGCCATTTTGGTGGAATTTCATGGACGGCAAGGAAAAAAAAACGCGTACCGCGTGAGAAATCCGGGACGGGCATTCTAAGCCTATTAATTTCGTCCTGAAACCCCTAAAACTCCAGAATTCTGAACGAAATTTCGACCGTCCCGTGTCTTCCATGCACTGCAAATTTGCAAGATATGCAAAAAAAAATTGCCGATGATCAATAAACTAGACGACGGATGGCCCGAGAGCGTAGAGGAGCAGGGTCTTCTCTTGTTAGTATGGAGACACAATTTTAGAAACAATATATGAAAGATGTGTTATAGGCAGTCGAGAAGAGGAGTATCAAGACAAAATAGTGAGAAGTGCAAGACAATAGTTTGCATCGCAAACACTTTTGCACACAGACGCTTTTACACACAAAAGCTTTTACACACAGAAGCTTTTACACACAGAAGCTTTTACACACAAAGCTTTTACCCACAGAAGCTTTTACATACAGAAGCTTTTACACACAGCCGCTTTTACACAGATACTTTTACACACAGACACGTTTACACACAGACACTGTTACACACAGACCCTTTTACACACAGGAGCTGCTTTTACACACAAACGCTTGTACACACAGAAGCTTTTACACATAGACGCTTTTACACACAGGCACTTTTACACACAAACACTTTTACACACAAACACTTTTACACACAGACGCTTTTACACACAAACACTTTTACACAGAAACACTTTTACACACAGACGCTTTTACACGCAGACGCTTTTACACACAGAAGCTTTTACACACAAACGCTTTTACACACAGACGGTTTTACATACAGACGGTTTTACACACAAGCGCTTTTACACACAATCACTTGTACACACAGACGCTTTTACACAGAGGCCGGCCCATGTACTCACAGCGAAGTCATCGTTGTCGTGGCCACCTCATCACTTGTACTCTCGCAATTTTACCTCAGTTTTTGCCGATCGACCCTCGATTCGTGCGAAAGGGTTGCTCCGGCACACGAAAAATCGCAATTTTACAGTTTTCGCCGATCGACCCTTATTTCGTGCGAAAGGGTTGCTCCGGGACAAGTCAAATCGCAATTTTACCTCAGTTTTTGCCGATCGACCCTCATTTCGTGCGAAAAGGTTGCTCCGGGACAAGTCAAATCGTAATTTTTCCTCAGTTTTTGCCGATCGACCCTCATTTCGTGCGAAAGGGTTGCTCCGGGACAAGTCAAATCGCAATTTTTCCTGAGTTTTTGTCGATCGACACTCATTTCGTGCGAAAGGGTTGCTCCAGGACAAGTAAAATCGCAATTTTTCCTGAGTTTTTGCCGATCGACCCTCATTTCGTGCGAAAGGGTTGCTCCGGGACAAGTCAAATCGCAATTTTACCTCAGTTTTTGCCGATCGACCCTCATTTCGTGCGAAAACGTTGCGTTTCGTGCCGTCTCGTTTGCACTGCCCCTGCCCCCGCCTTCAGAAGAGAAATAGAAAAGAAGGAGAGAGCAAGAGGGCAAGAGGGCAAGAGGAGAAGATGTGAAGATGTGAGGATGTGAAGATGAGAAGATGTGAGAAGATGCGAGAAGATGTGAGAAGATGCGAAGATGAGAAGATGAGGAGAAGATGGGAGGATGAGAAGATGTGAAGATGAGAAGATGTGAAGATGAGAAGCTGTGAAGATGAGAAGATGTGAAGATGAGAAGATGTGAAGATGAGAAGATGTGAAGATGAGAGGATGTGAAGATGAGAGGATGTGAAGATGAGAAGATGTGAAGATGAGAAGATGTGAAGATGAGAGGATGTGAAGATGAGAGGAAGATGTGAAGATGAGAAGATGTGAAGATGAGAAGATGTGAAGATGAGAGGATGTGAAGATGAGAGGATGTGAAGATGAGAAGATGTGAAGATGAGAAGATGTGAAGATGAGAGGATGTGAAGATGAGAGATGTGAAGATGAGAGGATGTGAAGATGAGAAGATGTTTTACAGACCCCCACTATTGGAAGAACCCTGCGCTCAGACGCTCTCGGGAAAAATGTCACAATATGCAGGAAAAAATCCAATCTCGTATTGAAAATATGCAGACTATGCAGGTGTTTGACAAAAAAACATGCTCATGATCAGCAAAGAAGTACATGATCAATAAAAAATTGCAAAAATATACAGAAAAAATGCTATATCGTCATCCGCCGATCCAAGAACACCTCGTTTACTCACATCTAATTTGTCTGCACATGTACATACATGTAATATTTACAGGGCATATATGTGTGTATATAATGCCGTTTTCGGAGGTTACCATCCTGTTTAATCAACATTTTCATTATTGTCGGGAATACCGTGGGAAAATCCCCGATGGGCATTCTAAGCCTATTTATTTCGTCCTGAAACCCCTAAACCTCCAAAATTCTTGACGAATTTTCGACCGTCCCACTGCAAATAAAAAAATGACATTAAAGGACCGGATAACCCCACATGTTACCAACTTCTTTAGACTTAGACTGAGCATAGAAAAGCAAGAAGGGAAGAGGAAGTATAAGAGTGATGGAGCGGTGATGGTGGGTGAGTTTGTCGTGTGTGTGTGTGTATGTATGTTCATGTCCAGTGAGTGAGTGAGAGTGTGAGTGAGTGATGTGAGTGTGGTGTGTGTGAGTGAGGGATGTGAGAGTGAGTGAAGTGAGTGAAGTGAAGTGAAGTCCATATCGTATTGTAAATATGCAGAACATGCAGGTATTTGCAAGAAAACATGCTCATGATCAGCCAAAAAATCATGATCAATAAAAAATGTCAGAGTTTGCAGAAAAAATGCAATATCTCAACCGTCATTGGGGACCAAGATTTTATTTATAGATTGAAAATCTATATCGAATTCAGAAGTTTTGGGGGCATATTCTGCGGAGGCATTCTAACCCTACAAGAAACAAGGTTTAGTGGCCCCGGCACAACGGGTAGGCCCCTGGGGGGTCTTGATACCTTAGATCAACCAAAACCCACAAAAAGAAGGTGCTGCCAGAAAACCAGGTTTTTGGAGAGAAAACCGGGTTGATGTCGGTTTTGGACTACGGTTTTTACGGGTTTTTATGGGTATGGTTTGTTTTTATAGGTGTTCAACGGTTTTTCTATGGGTTGTGGCGAAGCTGCTTCATCAAAAACCTGGTTTTGTTGACTAAAGGCTGAAAACCAGGTTTTAAAGCGTAACCAATATTCACAGGCAAATTTGATCAAACAATTTTTGAAGATGTTTATCCACATTTACCAGCGTAATACGGTACGGACTGAAAGGTAGAATTGTTGGTAGAAGTTTTCAGACAATTTTTGTGGGGCATTCTAACTTTCAATGGAAAAAAATTGGTGGAATCCCGGTCATTCTAACTGTCAGTCCGGCGGTATAATCATGATTAATCCAAACCAAACAAAATTGAAAAAATATGTTTAACAAAAAATATAGCAACAACTACTCTGACCCCTGGACTAGTTGCCAAATCTTGTTTTTTTGGTTTTTTTGATCGTTTTTTTTGTCTTTGTTTTTTGGGGGTGGTTTTCTCGAGGTTTTGGTGCAATCCTGATTAATCTGGAATAATCCTGATTAATCCAGTTCATAACGTCCTACATCATAACTCCGGCTAATTCCGGCCTTCTTGTCCCCAAACAGGGAAAAATCAGATGCTCAGAGACTTGGGCATGGGCTGAGGGCAAGTGTGTATTTCATCTATTTTCATCTAGTTTTCTGAAGAATTTAGCATTTTTCAAAAACAATGCCGATAAAACTGGAACGAAATAAAGCAGACAAAGTGTACTTAGGACATAGGTTGGGCATTTTTTTACATACAATCCTCCAATGCCTGTGATCCCAAGTCGTATTTTTCAAAGAACGCGATATTCCTTCAAGAAAACGTGGCCTGACTTTGTGCCTTCCCTTTGAAAGATTGCAATGTCTATTTGAAAAGAGTGCAGTGATGGTCTGAAAAAAATCAAAATAAGTTAATACGTATACAATTTCATAGAAATATGGCGCCTTCTACTAACAGATTCCAGCACCATTCAAAATTAAGATCAATTTATATATATATATATATATTTATTTATTTATTGATGTATTTATATATATATACCATTGTGTTTTTTGCGATCATGCCGTTCTTTGAACTGAATGTTGACAATTATCTGGAATATGTTCCTTCAAAAAAGTGCATCATCTCTTTGAAAAGGGTGCAAGATTCCCTCCAACCGTAAAACATCATTCCAAATTTCAACATAGAGTTCTTTTGTGTAGATTGTGGTCCTTCTATCAAAAGAATATGGTATTCCTTGACGAATGTGTGGAAAATTGTGTTTGTTTTTTAACTATGAACTCCTTGAGGGAGATCCAATATTTTCTCAAAACAATGGAACGTAATGCCAGAATGTTTTTTTTTACACATGCAGCACTCTTTCTGAAATAATATGGATTTCCCTTGGTGCATAAGGCATTATGTTGGGAAGTATAATGAAATAACTCCTTTAGAAAAAGACCTGGTTCTTAAGGAACAACAAACAAGGCATGTTGAACCCTGTCAACAGGAATACAACATGTGTGAAGAAAATTATCTATTTTTGCAGGAACATGGTTTCTTGAAAAGGATACTACATTGCCCTATGGTGCGGTACTTGCCAGGTTAGTCATCTTACAGGATTTTCAAGGGATATTGCATTGATGCATTGGATATTGCACTTTTTGACGTGAATTCTGCATATTAAAAGGTTGTTTTTAATTGAAAAACACGCTACATATGGCACAGGAATATTGTTTTCTTGAAGGGATACCATATCATTTCCAAGAAAATTACGTTTCTTTCAAAACAAAATGTTGCATCTTTGAAAGGATTTTTTCATAATGTGTAGGGGTATTGTTTGTTGAAAAAACATTGCATTTTTTCAAAAAAAATGCAACTTATATAATGAAACATGTTTCTTTACAAGCTGGGGATACTTCATTGTTGCATTTAATATTGCATTTTATAACAAGAATGCACAATGCTAAAATTCATGCTACACATGATAGAAAAATGGTTCCCCTTCAAAGGAAAATTGGATTTTTTAAGGACACCCAACATTCTTTAGGAAACCGTGATATTTTACCAGGGATAGTGGAAGCGTTCAAAATTGTGTGTACTTACATTTATGATCCTTTGCCTGATGACCGTGATGTAGTTACTTGATTGCATTCAATAAGAACAACATACATAATTCACAAGGAGACTCTTAAACAAAACATATAAATATGATTTTGCATGGGAATTGCATGGAACTAAATTATATCCAAGAATATTTGAATAAAAACCTAACCACGTCGATTTATGGCAATTTTGTTCATATCTGGATTAATTTGATTCAGGATTTGCAAAAAAAACATGCCATTATCTCAATTTTTTCCCGCTAACAACAGTCCCCTCCCTTATTTTTCTCCAAGATCTCATGGTCATTTTTCTTGGATCCAAGTTTCTCCTTCCAACAATTGGAATCTCCTTTGCAAATCTTCCAGTTGCTCTTCCGGACTCATGGTCGGTTTGGCCATCGGACCTGCTATCGGGCTGGCAGCTGCAACTTGTGAAATGAACATATTTTGTAGAATTGGTTATGGGTAGAAATTGGAACCCTTGGATTCACAAAAACGACCGAAGATCGTCATGTTTAATGTCGAATCATCCTTTTTCAAGGTTCAACAATTTTGACCTTCTCCAATTTGCGTATAGAATTTCCCAACACAGGTGTAGCCTGCGCAGGGTCAAAACAATGTCGAAAATTTGAAGGTTTTGAATGCCTCTGGAATCGACGATTGCCAATCTATGAGTCGCTCTGCAGTTCGAACACATTCTGACAACTAAATTCCATTAAACGCGCAATTGTCGATGTTTCTTGTCCCAAAAAATGCAAGCTCCTTGGTTCCAACATCGAAAAACCCACGGGACCCACCTAAATAAAGCCGCTATTTGCACCAAGAACCCAACGAAAACGGTTTGAACTTGAACAGAAAATTTGAACACACAGCTCAGGTGCAACATTCAATGATGACAAACGATGACAAACGCAAAGGATTGAATGTGCTGTCAAACTAAGCAACGAGTGCATCAATTGGTGACACAATTTGTTGCGTGATTCCTCTTTTTTAATCCTGCGATTTCAAAAACCGTTGCATTCACAAATGGGCAAACTGGGAGTCGAGGCGCGTTTTTGATTTTGAACGCCAGTTCTGTTGTTTTGAAAACCAATGATTATAATGTGTACAATTTCACAAGGGACGGTTGATCCCGTTCTTGCTTGCGCTACAGGGACTGTCACAACATTGATTTTCAATGTAAATTCAAAATCGTTTCCATGGAATTTATATGTCACCCTGTAGTCTACTGTTGCCTCGATTTGGTGCGCGTCATCCTTTGCAATGGCTATGCCAAACACTGCGTGGTGGCAGAAATATTTGCAGTCTCCCTTGGCCGGATACAAGTCCAACTCCGCCAACCAAATTGTAGATTCAACCAGCAAGCAACACCACCACGCACTTTTGACCAAGCAACCAATAAAAATAGGGTACTATAGGCAGCTCCCCGCATTCCCATCACTTTTCTTTAATTTCCTTTGTGGTTATTTCACGGACATGTCTCATGTTGCACTGCGGACTGATCATGACATTCTGCGAATTTTTCTGGAACTGAAAAACGCCTCAGAATTCATCCTGATGTACACTACTCGGTTTGTGCTATGTCAAGTGCACAGCTACATGACTGACATGCAAATGTACACAACTGCAAATGCGGAAATGACTTTCACCCCGCCTCGATATTGGAATATTCCTAATTATCGCTAGGCTTAGGTTCCGCAGGTCAGTTGCTTTGACCTTCGTGTCAATTCTATTGGAGCCTTTTCAAGGTGAAACCAGTTTTGCTTCAAAATAATGGCACTGGAGTTAGATGTTAGGTTTCCTACCCAACAGGCGACACTCTTCAGGTGGTGCCTTTTTTCGTCTTTCAGATCTTCTCAGAATTCCATCAGTCAACTGCCGTTTGTGGATGGTTTCGGCTCATTCTCTCTGTAGGCCGGACCATAGTTGACATCTGCCCAGAAATCTGGGTCTGAAGCTTCCGACTGTCCGCACTGAGTGTATCTCCGTGTTTTCTGTGATTGGGTTTCTTCAGGCATGCTCTCGTCAGAGCTTTACGGTTTGATCTCCCGCATCGCTCCACCCAGTTGGTTCACCAGCTTTGTCACCTCCTCGAAGCGATCATACTCCAGTAGGCTCATGATGTTTTTGAAGGCCTTGTCAGCCTCCAACAAGGCGTGGTTTGTCTCATCTTCTCCAAGTCCATGTTGTGGCGACTCGTCGTCATCACTCAAGTTGCTCACATCAACGATCACCTCTGCCATGCGGGTTCTCTCGGCTGGAGAACAGTCTGCGCAGTGGGAAACGCAGCTGAGCAGCCAAGTTCTGCTTTGCATGTACTTCATGGACTGTCCATTATTTCCCCGCCTTTGAGCTCGTTCAAGCCTTCCGTTGATCCTCTTCAAAGCTACCAACAGCATGCCTTCAATCTGAAGATCCTCGTGCACCTCGGGCTTTGCAGCTCCTGTTTTAAATGAAAGGTCTGTTGGAGGGAAATGCAGTACAACGTGTGTCCTCCAAGCGCCACTGTCCACAAGGTCAGCACACGTGTTGTGAAAGAAACCATGCCAGCTTCAGAAGACTTCGAATCCATCATGTCGCAACCACACAGGTTCATAGTTGCTATCCCATGCAGGAAAACTGTGCCAATGGCTGTGGAAAGTCCTGAGTTCATGGAAGGTAGGAAAGTCGCGAAACACTGTGTTTTTCCAATGATTTGAGGTTCCGGAGGGTCGAAAAGTAGGCTCGCTAAAGCGGCGGGTGCAGAGCCAGCTGGCCAGATGAGAGATGAAAAATTGCACGCCGTTGTGGCGCGAAGCACAAATCCAAGTCAAAATGTACAAAACACCAGAGGTTCGGAGCACTTTTGGAAGTTGCGATGTCGAAAAAGTGCACGCCGTTGTGGCGCGAAGCACATTTCCAAGTGAAAATGTACAAAACACACCATTCTCGGACCACTTTTAGAAGTTGAGATGTCGAAAAAGTGCACGCCGTTGTGGCGCGAAGCACATTTCCAAGTCAAAATGTACAAAGAGTAATTTCCCCTGCACTTTATGCCTGCACCTTCGGTATATAAGAATGTGCCGAGTGTTTAACTGACCGCCTGTCTGCCTGGCGTTGCCTCCCCCGCTATCAAGCCCGGGACCGACAGTCTGACGGACCGACAGCCTGAGGGAGGCGTGATAACCACCAGATCTGCATGCCGGCTACAAAGTTTGACAGCGTACAGGCTGCATTCCACACTGCTGCATGATAAGGCAATGCAAAACCAAGCAATCCTTTTAGCCTCCCTGCAGCGGCCTTTGGTCAAGTTTCACACGAATGTTCGAAGGCATGCCCCCCGCCACGTGCAGTTTCCTGGGGACGCCACGATAAAAATTGAACATTTGGAAGATCAATTTTTTATCGCCACAATGAAAAATGGACATTTGGCAAATCAAATTTTTATCGCTACGATAAAAATTGAACATGTGGGAAATCAAATTTTTATCGCCACGATAAAAATTGGACATGTGGGAAATCAAATTTTTATCGCCACCATAAAAATATCAAGTTTGGTCGAAGTTTTATCGTGGCAATAAAAATCCGAAATCTGGCAAACACCGTTTTTATCGCCACGATAAAAATTCGATTTCTGATGATTTGGTCAATTTTGGCAGTTTGTTCTCAGGAAGCAGGAAATCGACCTTTGGAGCCTCTCAATCAGCAGATGGCCACGTTTATGCAGGAATTAACCCATTCACTAGTTCTGTGCAAAATGCAATTGAACGCGTTGAACGACTTGGCGAAAGCTAATAGGCGTGGGACGGAAAAAAACTTGAAAACCACCAAATTTCATTTTTTCGAAAACCACCAATCATGGCCGACCTCACTGGTTCACTTGTGTTGCACGTGCACAGTTCTCCGAAGAGCCTGTACCGGAGTAGAAAAAAAACGTTCGATCTGCAGTTCATGTGGCTGCTGCAGAGGATCTGTGACCCCCATCCCATAAATATAGTTTAGTCAGTAGTTGGAATTCATTGGAATTAGGTGTTGAATGGTATGGCCCCTTGACAAACCCATTACTTTCTGTTTTATATGTCAATTTTGAGTGGCCCAGCTGTGTCCGCACAACCCCACCCGCACACGTGCTGCTGCCAGCTTTTGAGGTTTCGATGCACGTCTCAACGCAGTGGGATCCCAGGACCGGACTACGCGATGGACACACCTACCAGTTGTGATAATGCATGGGAATCATGCTGCAGCAGTTTGAAACAAACATCTCAAACATCCCAAGTTGTAAGTTCACACAGGCGCGCATCAACTAACTCACCATGTTGCAAGGAAAAACAGACTTGACAGACTGGTTGGACAACTTGGTGAAGCCTTTATGCACATGCTTCCAACTGTGCACTCCTGCATCCCAAGTCTTGCAACGGCTATGTCTTCTAGAATTGGTACTTCGACAAAGAATACACAAATGTTATGTTCTTTGAAAACACAGTAGACTATGAATGAACGTTGGAAATCGTTCTAAGGCCAACAGGTGCAAGCATCAGTATGACCCAGCACTGTTCTCGAGCTGGGTTTAGCCCTGAGATAGATTGGCCGGCTGAGTGCCATGCAGACCCTGGTGTTTCTAGGGTGTTCCAGTCCACGGCTTTAGAATTGTATTTGATGTTGCGCAGCTAGTTGCATCTTGAATTGAATTTGATGAAGATTAGAAACTATGTGAATCGGATGCATGGTGATGAATGAAGCCCATAGAGCAGGGCCACTTAGACTCGCATGAGTTTGCATGCAGGGCCATCACATGAGTTGGCTCGCTTGCTGTAGCATCCGGTTTGAACTCAAAGAGCCTTTGTGCCTTCCTGGCCGCGTAAGCTTCAGCTGGTGACATGGAAGATGCAGTACAAGATCATGGCCAGGCACCCTAATAACCTCACGCAAGCGTTCTCGGTTTGCAGCGGCTGGTCCAAGCTTGGCACTGAGGTCAACGAAAGGGTTCTGTCTTGTTTCCAAGGAAATGAGCAGCTGGGTCATCGGGGCCATCAGGGAGAAAACCCGGGAGGTGATGCTGGCCAAGCCTGTGAGGGGACCATTGATCACTGTGGACTTGACCCCTCCAGCCGATGGAGAAATGAACTACATCTTCATGTACACGTTCAGTGGCAGTTTGTTTTCGAGCCGCAATTGATTTACTGTTGTGTTATCGGCTTCATGTATCAATAGGACCCCCTGGCATTGTTCAATCACGGGGGTAGGGCTTTTGATATGACGGCTGAACGAACGCCCCAGCCCATGCTGTAATGGTTCTTTATTTACCCCTGTTTTTTCGTTTCATATCATTGCCCAACTCGTTTGACTGAGGGCTGGCAGTGGGCAGATCAAGGACGACCAGACCATGGCAGCATTGTGGGGCAAGATGCGACATCATTTGATGAACATGAAAGCTGCACACTGAGCTTGACATCTCGCCAACCTATCTCACGCACATGCAGAAGCAAGTGAGGAGCAGCAACACAAAGATCACCACGATGGTGGGCAGATCCAGTGAACCTGATGAGAACCTGCGCCAAAGCCAGCTGCCAAGAACAGTGCGTTGAAGAAGCCAGCTGGCAAGGCTGTGAAGAAGGCTCACACTAAGAAGAGAACCAGTGCAGAGACACCTGGCACTGCTGAAAACTGTTTTTGATTGTTGGCATAATCTTCGGTCTGATATGACTATGTAAATAGAAGCAATGTGGACGCAATGTCGAAATTTCAAGCACAAACATGTAGCTCAAGACCCGAAATGCGCCTGTGGTTTAAAAAAAGAAAAAATCTTTTGAGGCTGTCATGCGTCTCCAGTATCTTTATGAAAGTGGCATGCCATTGGTGGCATCAACTTTGTTTCAGAATTTCAATTGGGAGTGTGCATTCATGACATTCATGTGTGCTTTTCTTTGCTTTCCGTGGAAGCACTTCTGCATTAGCAGACATTAAACTCGTCCACTTGCACTTGAGCAATGAATGTACGGACAGTGCGTGAGGCAGATTTTGACTGCACATGTGCACATTGCTGTGGTTCCCTTGTCAGTGGTACCGGTGCGCATGCATTTAGCTGTGCATTTCAAGACTTATCAAAATCAGGGCTACTGTACATATGTAGCTCGATCAGTACTTGCAGCTCGGAGAACTACACCAGTTTAAAGGGCAGGGTTGTTCCTCATCGAAAAACTCGCACAAAACATTCTGCAAGACTTGCAAGTTCATGTTCGCAGATCAGGCTCAAGTGCCAACAGTCGTGCTTTGAGCATGACTGCAGTTGAGTTGCTTAGCAATGTACTCGATGAAGCAGAGCGCTTCCTCGTAGCGCAGAAAGACCTTGACTGCTATTCGCAGGTCTTGGAGCAGCAATGTGCTGCCATGCTCAGAAACTGTCAGATGCTTCCACAGCTGACAGGAGAGCAAGCGGCAGAGCTGATCAACAAGGTCAAAGACAAACTAGGCCCTAGGCAAGCTGGCCAACATTTCCCCGATAGTGCTTGCCTTATTTCTCCATAAAACCAGGATCGCTTGAGACTAATCCGAAACTGGTGGTGGAAGTTTCAAATGTTAAATTGATGTCCATAACATAGACCCGGGCAAGCCGGCGGCGGAAGTTTCCCAAACATAAATGACCTATAGTTCAAAAACAACCTGTCCCGACCGTGTCCTTCCCTCGACACTCCACACCTCACAATGCACACTGCACTCTTCGCACTCCAAACTTCAAACTTCACACTCCACACTTCACACTCCACACTTCTCACTTCTCACTGCTTCCTTCACACTCCAAACCTCACACTTCACACTTCACACTTCACACTGCACACTTCACACTTCACAATCCACACTTCACACTTCACACTTCACAGTCCACACTTCACACTTCACACTTCACAGTCCACACTTCTCACTTCTCACTTCGCACTTCACACTTCACACTTCACACTTCTCACTGCTTCCTTCACACTCCAAACTTCACACTTCACACTTCACACTCCACACTTCACACTTCTCACTTCTCACTGCTTCCTTTCCACTCCAAACTTCACACTCCAAAACTCACACTTCACACTTCTCACTTCGCACTTCGCACTCCACACTTCACTCACACTTCACACTTCACAGTCCACACTTCACACTTCTCACTGCTTCCTTCACACTCCACACCTCACACTTCACACTTCACACTGCGCTCTTCGCACTCCACACTGCACAGTCCACACTTCACACTTCTCACTTCACACTTCTCACTTCTCACTGCTTCCTTCACACTCCAAACTTCACACTTCTCACTTCGCACTTCACACTCCGCACTTCACAGTCCACACTTCACACTTCTCACTTCTCACTGCTTCCTTCCCACTCCAAACTTCACACTCCAAACTTCACACTTCTCACTTCGCACTTCACACTCCACACTCCACTCACACTTCACACTTCACACTTCTCACTTCTCACTGCTTCCTTCACACTCCAAACCTCACACTTCACACTTCTCACTTTGCACTTCACACTCCACACTTCACACTTCACACTTCTCACTTCGCACTTCACACTCCACATTTCACACTTCACACTTCACAGTCCACACTTCACACTTCTCACTTCTCACTGCTTCCTTCACACTCCAAACCTCACACTTCACACTTCACACTGCGCTCTTCGCACTCCAAACTGAAACTTCACACTCCACACTTCACACTTCTCACTTCCCACTGCTTCCTTCACACTTCACACTTCACACTGCACTCTTCACGCCCCACACTTCAGACTGCTCTAAACGTACGTTCAACAAAAAAACACTAGTGCCAAAATGGAGAAATCTGCTAACAAACCCATTTCGCAGCCTTCATGCAGCCACTCCAAGACGATTTCCGAGATCCAGCTGCAAAAGACAATAGTATTACGAATGCAGCCACAGCACGAAGCAACCTTGACGCAGCCATTACAATGCGATCTGCGGAGACTGAGTTGCAAAACACAATAGAACTACGCGCAACGGCGTCGGAAATTGTAGCTCCAAAACCGGATCTCGACGCCAGAGCGAAAAAAAAAAGACGATTTTGAAGCACTTTTTAAAAGGATTTTTAGAAGGAAAATCACTAGCGCCAAAATGGAGAAAATCTGCTAACAAATCCATGTCGCAGCCTTCATGCAGCCACTCCAATACGATTTACGAGATCCAGCTGCAGAAGACAATAGTATTACGAATGCAGCCACAGCACGCAGCAACCTTGACGCAGCCATTACAATGCAATCTGCAGAGATTGAGTTCCAAAACACAATAGAACTACGCGCAACGGCGTCGGAAATTGTAGCTCCAAAACCGGATCTCGACGCCAGAGCGAAAAAAAGACGATTTTGAAGCACTTTTTAAAAAGGATTTTTAGAAGGAAAATCACTAGCGCCAAAATGGAGAAAATCTGCTGACAAATCACTGTCGCAGCCTTCATGCAGCCACTCCAATACGATTTACGAAGTCCAGCTGCAAAAGACAATAGTATTACCAATGCAGCCACAGCACGAAGCAACCTTGACGCAGCCATTTACACTGCGGGAACGATCCTACAGTTGCAAAGCACAATGGAATTCCATCGGCAACTCATCCGCCAGCAACACTTGCAATCTCATTTACATTGCGGGAACGATCCTAGAGTTGCAAATCACAATGGAATTCCATCGGCAACTCATCCACCAGCACCACTTGCAATCCCATTTACATTGCGGGAACGATCCTACAGTTGCAAATCACAATGGAATTCTGTCGACCGCAAATTCACGAAACACAGGTGAAACCCCATTTACAATACGGAACCGATCCGACCATGATCCGAGACCGATCCGAGCATGATCCGACCACACACGAGACCGTCTCGCACCCGTCGCACCGCAGAGGTAGATCATCGACGTTCGGGGACGCACTTTGTCTAGAAAAACACATGGTTTCGTGCATCTTCTATCTCTCAAAAACACATTTCGTGCGAGACTTCCTTCAAAACTCCATCGGCAACTCCTCCACCAGCACCGCATGCAATCCCATTTACAGTGAGGGAACGATCCTACAATTGCAAATCACAATGGAATTCCATCGGCAACTCATCCACCAGCACCACTTGCAATCCCATTTACATTGCGGGAACGATCCTACAGTTGCAAATCACAATGGAATTCTGTCGACCGCAAATGCACGAAACACAGGTGACACCCCATTTACAATACGGAACCGATCCGAGCATGATCCGAACATGATCCGACCATGATCCGAGAATGATCCGACCACACACGAGACCGTCTCGCACCCGTCGCACCGCAGAGGTAGATCATCGAGGTTCGGGGACGCACTTTGTCTGGAAAAACACAGGCTTTCGTGCATCTGCTATCTCTCAAAAACGCATTTCGTGCGAGACTTCCTTCAAAACTCCATCGGCAACTCCTCCACCAGCACCACTTGCAACCCCATTTACAGTGAGGGAACGATCCTAGAGTTGCAAATCACAATGGGAATTCCATCGGCAACTCATTCACCAGCACCACTTGCAATCCCATTTACATTGCGGGAACGATCCTACAGTTGCAAATCACAATGGAATTCTGTCGACCGCACATGCACGAAAAACAGGTGAAACCCCATTTACAATGCGGAACCGATCCGAGAATGATCCGCCCATGATCCGAGAGATCCGTTCCGACCACACACGAGACCGTCTCGCACCCGTCGCACCGCAGAGGTAGATCATCGACGTTCGGGGACGGACTTTGTATGGAAAAACACAGGGTTTCGTGCATCTGCTATCTCTCAAAAACGCATTTCGTGCGAGACTTCCTCCAAAACTCCATCGGCAACTCCTCCACCAGCACCACTTGCAATCCCATTTACAGTGAGGGAACAATTTCTTTGCTAACTCTTTCTGTGACTAACTCTTTCCCTCACTAACTCTTTCTTTGACTAACTCTGTTGTTTCTTTGCTAACTCTTTCTTTGACTACCTCATATATCCTGACTAACTCTTTCTTTGACTAACTCTTTCCCTCACTAACTCTTTCTTTGACTGACTCTTTCCCTCACTAACTCTTTCTTTGACTAACTCTTTCCCTCACTAACTCTTTCTTTGACTAACTCTTTCCCTGACTAACTGTTTCTTTGACTAACTCTTTCTTTGACTAACTCTTTCCCTGACGAACTCTTTCTTTGCTAACTCTTTCTGTGACTAACTCTTTCCCTCACTAACCCTTTCTTTGACTAACTCTTTCCCTGACTAACTGTTTCTTTGCTAACTCTTTCTTTGACTAACTCTTTCCCTCACTAACTGTTTCTTTGACTAACTCTTTCCCTGACTAACTCTTTCTTTGACTAACTCTTTCCCTCACTAACTCTTTCTTTGACTAACTCTTTCCCTGACTAACTGTTTCTTTGACTAACTCTTTCCCTGACTAA